ATAAACATTGAATTCTACTGAACAGGTACCTTACTAAAGCTCTTTTGTACCGAACAGGGTAGAAACTGTGGTAATTAAGATACTGTCCTGTTCAGGTAGGTTTGCTATGAATAAATTGTTGCATTGATCCATCAAATCATCGACTAGGTAAATATTTAGGAAAGATAAACACTTGTCTTTCTCTTCTACGGACGTAAATGGCATGCCATTCTGAACTTGATTCAGTCGATTTAAAATTAAGGTGGCAGAAGAATGCTCGTCATTTATGATTATAATGTCGTCTGCATCCCTTCTGTAATGTGGCACATTTTCGATCAGTTCCTTCGATAAACTCCCAATGTATGACATGAAGTTTATGCATTTCCTAAAATTAGTTTTCACTCTTGTGAAACTCCTATTTATTCATTTTCTCGGTATGTAAACAACAGGTGTTCTAGCTATTTTCAGATAGTTTCAGTTTTGGATCTGTTTTAATTAATAAAAATTTACTTAAAATAGTCATATCAAAACAAGACTTTTGCAAACACTTTCTTTTATGGGTAAGCCACAGTTTATACTATAGTAGATCTCTGCTGATTAAACGACACCTGTTAGAAGATACTCCAATGAAATTTATTCTCAGTGACTTAGGAAATTTGCCTCTAACTTTCAATCGAAAAAAATGCATACACTAAAAGAAACAGTACTCTAGACAGTTAAGGAATATTTAAATGATTTTAGGATTGTTTCGGATTACAGAATCAATTGATTAGATAACTAAGTCAATTATTTATTGAATTGAATTTTTGATTTTCCCGTCGATTGATTGGACCGAAGTGCTCGGTCTCAGGTTGACATGTCGGCTTCTTGTGCAGATGCTTCGACGATGTCTAGGCATTTAGTTAGTATACAATTGGTGGATGGTGGCTAGCAGTGGAATCCAGGATGCGCATTTCGTCCTATTTGGGACTCGTCAGCTGGATGTACCTGCATATCTCAGTGAGTGATGATGTTCCCACTGAGGCTCAAACCCAGTACCCATAGTTTCAAACGCCAAAGCGTTATCCACTAGACCACTTGGGCCACGAGAGCCACCGTCGCACAAGAGGTGGCTCTCGTGGCCCAAGTGGTCTAGTGGATAACGCTTTGGCGTTTGAAACTATGGGTACTGGGTTTGAGCCTCAGTGGGAACATCATCACTCACTGAGATATGCAGGTACATCCAGCTGACGAGTCCCAAATAGGACGAAATGCGCATCCTGGATTCCACTGCTAGCCACCATCCACCAATTGTATAAGTCAATTATTATTGATTACGTTACAATGCCACTGGAATATGGGGATTCAAGCTTCAGCTTTAGTGTTCATCTTTTGCGGGGTTGGGTTGCTAGTCTCACACCCAATCTTCCCTTTTTACCGTTGGCCTTACTACCATTTTAGCGAGGTTTAGATATGCGTCGACTGGGGGTCGAATCCTGAACCATGTGAGACCTAATTGGCAAGTATTCTACGCCTGAACCACCAAAGGACAAAAGCATTATCCACTAGACATCTAGGGCCACAATCAGTCCCATACTTTGAGATTTTATTGAAAATAGAAACTGGTGTGATAGTTCAAGTTTTTTTGGAATTGTTAACCAACTAAATAAAGAATATATATCATCAGCCGTTAATTTAAAAGGCTTAATATCTAAATACTGTTTATTTGTATTTGAATAAACCAAGAACAACAGTTTTTGCAGAATAAAATAGTACAACCATTTATTTCGTTGGCTTCTCATCAGCTGCTTACAGGCCAAAGTCATTGTTAAGTATATCTACAGAAACAATTTTAATATACTTGCACAGAGTTCATTTTTAAATAAAAATTGATCAGTTAATATATGCATACAGTAATTATATATATATATAACATTAGACACTATTCCGAACAATAATGATCATAAACGACGGAAACTCTCCGCATTACATAATTATATGAAAGAGAGGTGAAAATAACCCGTTACCAGGGCCAAGAAATACTGATAACTGCTTCTTTCTGAACGCATACATCGGGTTTCAGAAGCTTGATGGAGACTGCTTCAGAAAACTTCAGGAGAATTGAACTCTTTTCCTTACTGATAATTTTTAACGATCTTGAGACATTAACCTCACGAACGATGTCAAGGAGATGCCTGACGATGGTACGGTTTAAAGCGTTTGTTAGCTTTAGACATAAGCTTTTTGATACATGCTCAGAAAATCCTAGATATGCCCACAGATACAAGTAAATTTGTATATACAGTTGGATTTAACATGAGAACAACTTGCTCTTTGGTGCAATCAAAAATCGATACATATCTGTCAGAAAGAAACAGTTATCAGTCTTTCTTTACCCCGGTAACTGGATATTTTCACCTCTCTTTCATCTGATTACATAATGCCGAGAGTTTCCATTGTGTACGATCATTACTGTTCAGAATAGCATTCAATGTTTTATATATATATATATGCATGTGTTGGTTGATTGATTCGGCCTGTAAGCATCTGATGAGAAGCCAACGAAATAAATGATGGTATCATTTTACTCTGCAAAAATTGTTGTTCCTGCTTTATTTTAATTTATTAATGGGGATAAATGCATGAAGTCATCTGTATTCCTTCACGTTCTCGGTGGAGCACAGGGCTTCAAGCTACAGCTTTGAATTTTAGGTAAAAGTGGTGTTTATTTTTACGGGATGGGGTTGCTAGCCTCTTGCCCAATCTTCCTCCTTTACTAGTCTTATTACTTGCTAAGCGAGGTAAAGGAGTGCATCGGTTAGGGACCACATGCATGGTTGACGAGCATTCTACCGCTGCGCCACCGACGTGGTAAAATTTAATTTGCAATGCCTCGGCATTGGCATTACTAACTACAGGAATACGTTTCTTAGGTCAGAATAAAATTAGTCAAATTGAAAGCTAAAAATAATCTTATCTTCTAGGTGTTGGTTTGCAGGGATTCGACTACTTTAAAGTTAGACTACGAGATGAAGTTGGTTAGGGAATCATGAAAAACCAGAGGACACAGGAAAGCTGTGTTATCCTGCTGTAGAAATCTTATGCAGTGCATACCCATAAAGCCATCCAGCAGGAACTGAACGCAGGACTTTCGGGTTAAGAGGCATTCCAGTTGACCATTCAGCTACCAGGCTCCAATGGTCATATGTAGGATATAAAGTTTTATCAATTTTAACTAATATATGATGCATTTTAAAAATTCTCAAAACACCCAAGATAAAACAGGTACACTTGCAAAAGTCCTAATATAAAATTATTTCTTTGATACTGGAAAATAATAGTATAGAAGCTCTATAGACGTTTAATAAATATGAAAGGGGATACTAGGTGTGTGAATAGTTATGCTTGATAGAACTTTTTCTTAACTTGCAATCTCTAATCAAAAATATTTTCAATTTCACTTAACGTAATAACTAACTCTACAGTGTAAATTTGCCGACTACAGAAGTTGTCATAACGAATATGTCTGATCTAATTACTTTTAAAACCTAAAAGGTACTGGAAAGCTACTCTTCTTGAACTTTCGGGCTGAACAATAAGTAGATTTTCATTATGAACCAAAATCCGTTAAAGAAATCGTTGAAATTGCGGGACTTTCAGATTCCTAAACCAAGCTTGTCGACCATGCAGCCTCTTAGTCTAGAATTTAATGACCAAAAAAAGTGAATTTAATCTAAAATGCTCAGAGATCCAGTGACCTGAAATATAATTCGCCAGCCCACTGGTAGCTACTGAATGAATGGCATGTCATCACCAGTATGATGCACCACGTCAAAGAGGAGTGAATGCCCAAGGTGACAGTATATCATGAGTTAATAAAAGTTGGAATTTTGTCAGTCTTAGTCACTGAGTGGTCTCGTTAGCCGAACGTGCCGCGTTAGATCCTTCGTAGGGTTGTAGCTGCACACTGTTTGAGAGTCTCAGGATAGGACCAAGCAGCTGTCCAGTGACCATTCCAACTGATGTTGGCTCGCGACAAAAATCTAACAATTGAATTTAGTCTGAAATCCTCACAAATCCCAAATAATCAAAATACATCTTTTGTTATCAAACACTGATGTGATAGTCATTTTATATTGTTGAATTAGCAATAACTGCGTTAACTAACAGATTTCTAGCATTTGTTACGCACTGACACAAGAATACACTGTTAAAACTTCACGTATAATTTATGTCTAGTGTCATATAAGGTCGAGGATCCTCAGATGCAAACCAACAGGCTAACAGCAGAGGCAGGTAGCTAGGACAGGACTCAAAATGAACGTAGAAAAGATTGTCATGATGAAGATACCAGGTCACTGGTCTACGTGAACGACAACCCCAGAGCCAGGAACTAAACCTCTGTCATTCTAAGGGCAGTCTGGGAATCTACTGTACTCGGCATGAACAATAAGATTCGAATTTTCAAGACTAATAATGTCGAGGCAGTCAGTGCACTTAGCTGCCTGAGAAACATTTCTGTTACGCTTCCGACTTTTATCGACAGTTGCCACCTTCACTACACAGGGAAGATCAGATGGTCATCTACAAATTATTAGTAACAAACAACTCTACGAAAGAACCTATTGCCCAACTAATATATCTAGGGAAAGTGTAGATCGAGTGGAATTATGCTGTAGAGGCCATTGAATTGACAATAAAAGCCAGGCATATCCACGAAAAGAATCCAAGTAAAAAACGACAAGTTGGGTGTTATTTCAAGGATGACATGGAGGCTTATGAGAGGTTGTTGAGCCAACTGAAAAGGACTTCAGCGAACAGAGTGAAATGGGGTTGTCCTGCGGAAGCTTTGTATTCCTCTAGAGGAAATAACGATAATAATAATATAGTACATTTCAGAACGTATTCACTATACATTAGATGGGATGCATACTATCTGAAGATGTTGTATTCATCGTAATCAAACCACCCGGCTCATCCACTGTAGTCACATGTTTTCTCCATCACATATATAAATCCTGAATAATCAATGTACTACTGAATGAAAACCTTCAAGAACATTTATAAATATCTCAATATCACTCGCTTACTTTATTACAAAGGAAGTTGAAAAGGAAAAAAACTGACAAATTTACAAAAGTGTTTAAATACAAACCATTTTTAGGTGGTCAATTCAAATTTGTATTACATGAAATATGCTTTCCAAAAAATAAATAAACACCCAGTTAATTTATACGTCAAAATAAAAATCTTCATCAACCAACCAAGATATTTCTTCTGTATAAATGCTCCTTTGTTCAAATAAAATGAACTCTTATTGACAAGATTATCACTGCTGATCGTAAGAATAATATTGTACATACTTAACTATCATTATTATTCACATGTTATAGAATTAACAAAATAACAGATCATCCATTAAAGAATGATTAAAATGCTGTTGAAATGTTCCATTTATCGGTATATAAGTTTGTTCACGTTTTATAAATAATCGACAATTTTTCCATGGCATTGTATACTTTCCCCATTGTATTTGATAACGTAATAATTTACATAATCCAGATTGACGTAATACATAATATAAATGTCTTTCAACATTCCCGAATATTTCATTAAATTTATCAATATACCAAATTTGTTTAATTTGTCCACGTTCATGTAATCGTTTTGTCTTTTTCAGCATATAACCATCTTTTTCAGTGATACATCTTGGTTCACCAATAAATGGTGTATTTAAACAACGTATTGTATCATTTGGGCATAAATGATTTACAATCATAGAGTTAAGCGTTTTATTAATACTACAAAAATCTGTTGAATAAATATGTTTACCAACAACTAATAAAGCATTGTTTACCGTACCATCATCATTATGATTAATATGAAATGCTCCATGATCAAGACGACTTAAATAACGGCCACCTTTCACTGTTTGTACACGAAAACGCGCTCTCCATACCTTTGGTAAACAGCATGGTTTAGAATTTTGATTCATAAGCATCACCGACGCTTCATCAAGATGTCGTGTTTGTCGTGTACTATGCTGTCGACAGCTTTTAATGAAATCTGATATTTTGGAGGTTTGAATGAATAAAATATGAAATGCCAGTATAAATAGGAATATAAAGTAGGATAATCCTTGCATTACAATTATTATTATGATAATTACTACATGAATAAATAGAATTAGTTTTGGTAAACTTTTAAAATTTAAGAAATCATTTTTACAAGAGTTTATTTGAATTATCCACACATTATTTGTTTGATAACATTGAATAGTGAATTTCACTTCGCCTACACAGTTTTCTAACAGTTTTGTATCTTGTCAAGGTCATATGTAGACATAAAACATTACGATCAACGAATCCAGTTGATTCATAATGACAAGAGATATGATAGGCTATTGGTATTATTAGAATTATTATCATCATATTTATGAATGTTTATTATGAATTTCTAGTCATATAATGCTTCTTTTTGCTTTTTGAAACTGTTTTGCCATCTTCGCATTGAAAGTGATCACCCTTAACTAATCTGTACATTCCTGCCGGTATACATATCAACGTACAGGTAAATTACTAAGGTAAATCTACCTAAAAATGAAAATGAGAGATGATCCCATCATTTCGTAGTTTCTTAACAACCACTTTACGACTAAAATGGATCACAGTAATAATAAAACGAAATGCATGAAAATTACTCAGTTATATAAAACAATAAGTGCCAACTAATGACCAATACTATATATAGGTCAAGTAGTCTTTGGTAGGTGAAGATAGAAGTCAATTGTTTTTCGTACACATCGTTTAGGCTGTAACTGATTAATCCAAAGTGCTTTCATCGCCTTCAATAACCTTGAATTAGAGTTATGTGAAATAATCGTGAAACAGTCATTACTGCTGATTGTGTGACCTGACATTAACAGGTGCTTTGCAATGGATGATGATTGATTTCGATTCAGATCGGTGGGCATTTCCATGCATTTTAAAGGCCGCTTTGGAACACGCTCTTTTCGACGACATTGAAACATTCTATGTAAATGTTACCGCAACTGCAGGTGAACTTGTAGATACAGTTTGAAGTAGAGTCCACAGAATTTCGTCCTTTAATCGTATGCACAGGGATCGAAAATGTTCGAGATGTAAGGGAAAGAGATGCGACGTGGAATGTGTGTCTTCGAGCTGTCAAATGCATAATCTGGTCACCCTTGAAAGTTAATTTTAATAACGATAGCTTTGTTTGGTACAGAAGCTGTCTTTTCAAGATGCAGTCTATTTTCAGTGTAACAAGTGATAAAGTTCTCGGGATAACCGTTAAATAATAAGACTGAATGTATGTGTCGAAGCTAATCCATTACATAGTGTGTTGCTCGTGCACATTTTGTGGGCTTTTGAAAACAGACATTTCACCAGGGATTCGTTTATGATGGATAGGAACAAAACTGGTGGCGAGAAAATATTGTCCACACCATGTCTATTCATAAAATATAGATCGCTTAATCGTTTCATCTTCTCTCCTGGTCGTTGAAAAATCCAGGAAACCGAGCTTTTTATAAGATTCGAGTTCGGAAGTCACTCGGATATTTGGATGAATATGATTGATCACTAGTATGTACTCCTGTTTTATGCAACTGAGCAATTGCCACGCATTTTATTTTATTATTATTGTGAACCATGTGAGTTGTAAAGTGATTGTAAGGAAATGACGGTATCATCTCTCGAAATATATCTTCTAAATGCCGGATTCAAATTTTTAAAAAGGACTACTTGTTTTAATGTACCTGAATAGTTTTCTTCTATAAAACCATTCATGACTGATTGACTGAGATAAGTATGAGTTGGATACACCACAGAAATGAATTTGCAATTTGAAAATTTGATTAATAAAATAATTAGTTCGCCCCAGTAGTTATCCAGAAATCGACTGCTTTCACTTTATTCAGCTGTCTGAGCTGAGTTAAGCCTGGTACGCGTTGCTTATGAGCTCACTCAGGAATGAGTGAAACAACAACATGGTGTTTAGATCACACTATTTCGGTGGGCTAACAAGCAGTGGCATGCAGCTACTGATCCTAATCAATCAGTAGTATATAGTTTTATCTAAAAATATTTGCTTCCATGACCGCCAATTTTTTGTATCAAGCAGGCCACATGTTTGTGATCTGATTACTTTCTGCTTCTAGATGAAACTGTGGTGAGATTTTGCCTTTTCTAGCTGTGTAAGTTGCAAAGTAAGTTTTTTATACCTTGACAGAATTCATGTTAGTTTGAAGAACACATAATAGGTGATGAGAAATATTCACATATTTACTTTACAGTACAAAAAACATTTTCACTGCAATACAAAGAACAACACCGGACAAAGTTTGCATACATTTATTGTCCTTTATGAATTTAAATGAAGCAATAACAATAGTTTATGAAAAATAACATAATTTATTTAGTCAGTTCCTCATCAGTTGCTTACAACCTAAAGAAATCAAATTTATGCACAGAACAATTTCAGCATACTTTCAAATTGTTAGTTTGCAACAGCCTCTAAGCGTAATAAACAGTTAATTGGTGGATGATGATTAGCGGTGAGATCCAGGATGAGCTTTTCGTCCTATTTGACACTCGTCATATGGACGCACCTGCATTCCGCAGTGACTGATTATGTCCCCACTGATACTTGAACCCAGTGCTCTTAGTTTCAAATGCCAAGGCGTTATCCACTAGACCACTTGGGTCACGATGATCGTTTCTTGTGTAACGGGTCATATAAATTATTTAATTTAAGTTTAGATTTTCCTCTTGAAACCGAACACTTCGATCCAATCAATCACGGGGAAAATCTTCAACTAATAAACAGTGCTCAGAAACTACACTCACATCGCTGATACCCAGAAAGTTCAAGTCCCAGCTAAAAGTTAAGACTTAGATGCACTGACAAAAGAGTTAAACAATAAAGATTAAAGGTCAATAAGATTGCGAGTAACTAACAAAGTGAGCAACAGTTGGGTGAGTTCAATTCAAATCATAGAAACATGAGACAAGCAAATTTGCATTAAAGCAAAGGGAGATGCGTTAAAGCGTAAAATTGAGTAATAAAATGAGAGAGGGAGAATAAAGACAGAGTTTCGCGATTCTGAAGAGACTAAGCAATTTAAATGAATATACAAGCTTTGGAGGTTATTTATTTTGCCTTCAGGTGTAAGAATATTTACTTTAGTCCTTGTATATATGCAGTTGTCAAATGACACGATAGGAAGAGATCCTGAACCTAGTGGTGATCCCAAAAGACTAATCGGTGCTTCAGAAATATATGTGCGGTATCCAACTAAGAAATATATCGAAAAACGGATTGTTTCACTGACAATCGATCAAAAAGACATGGTTACAAAGGCCAAGTCTAAGAATAAACGTTAATTTAAAGCCCAATTATACTTCTGAACATTTTTCTTCAGCCTTCTGCTAACTAGCATACAATTAGGCAGAGACTGCCATTGCTGTTTCTTACCAAGTGGCGATCAGTTCGAACAAACAAACAATATATTGCTCGTTCAGTGTTCACCGACACTGGTACCAGTATTGGATCGATATGAATATGTGCTAAAATGATACCTGAAACATCAGAGCTTACTTGTAACCAAAACAGTTCCCAGCTACTCCGATTTGTTCTGCTTTTGTCCGTATTTTATTTAACAGCATGGTAATCTTCAGGAATCGTCAAAGAATCCGTACTAGATGCCGACATGCTAACATAGGCCAGACATTTCGGTTGGATCAATTACTACACATGAAAATTAAATGGAAACGCCCAGCAATAACATATGACATTTTCCCAAGAGGTAGTTCCCATGGCTCAAGTGGTCTAGCAGATAACGTTTTGGCGTTTGGAACAATGGGTACTCGGTTTTAGTCTCAGTAAGAACACCATCCACCAATCACTGGGGTTCACAAGCACATCCACAACTGACAAGTCTCATAAATATTACAAACTCAATCTGAATTCCAATACCAGCTTTCAGCCACCGAATTACTTTATAGTATTTCGCCAGTGGCTTTATTGTATATTCCCACTAATCGTAGCGTCGTAATTCGTTGCTATTGTAGTTTAATGACACGTTATTTTTTGCATTGTTTTTAAACGAAAGTTTTCAGTAAAAAATTCTTTTTCCCTAGCCAACATCTTATCCGTGGAATTATATTCCTGAACTGTGTTATATTTGCTCTACTTTTACCATTAAAATATTGTTTGATACTGATATCAGTGTAATGTATTGGATTAAAGGAGATAGTAAGCCTTGATGTTAAACGTAAATTATTGAGAAAATTAAAACAATTAGTCCCTTTGATAAATTTGAACAAGGCATTAAGAAGACAAATTTCGCGAGATGATATCATTTCGTAGTTTCTTTACAACCGCTTTACAACTAACATGGTTAACAATGATAAAATAAAGTTCATGAAATTTACTCAGTTAAATAAAAACAAAAGTACATACTAATGACCAATTATATTAAGATAGGTCATGCAGTCCAGGGTAGGCGAAGATTGGAGTCTATTGATTTTTGTACACACAGTTTAGGCTGTATGTGATTAATCCAAAGTGCTTCCATCACCTTCAATAACCTTGAATTAGAGTTATGTGAAATAATTGTGAAACAGTGATTAATATTTATTTTGTGACCAGACATTAATAAGTGTTTTGCAATGGATGATGCTGGATTTCTATTAAGATTAATCGCGTTAGGATTTTCGATATGATTTACTAGCCATTTTGGAATATGTTCTTTTCGACGACATTGGAACATTCTGTTAGTTCTACTTATATAGGTGTCACCGCAGCTGCAGGTGAACTTGTAGATACAGTTTGAAGTGGGGTCCACAGAATTTCGTCCTTTAATCGTAGGAACAGGGATCGAAAATGTTCGGCAAGTGAGAAAAAGAGATGCGGTGGCGTAAAATGTGCGTTTGATGGCTGATCGAAGTCTTTGAGTTGTCAACTGCATAATCTGGTCGCCCTTGAATGGTAGATTAATAAAGATGGCTTTCTTTGGTACAGAAGCTGTCTTTTCAAGATGTGGTTTTTCTTTGCTGTGACAAGTGATAAAGCTAATTATTGAATTTCCAAGAAATCACGGTGGCATATTTTAGCGTATTTTTTTTTTGAAACACCCTAATATTCAACGGATAAAACAGGTGGCGCCTGCACACATTAGTAATCACAATACGAAGTATCCGAAAATCTAATCGACCAGACTAATCATTCACCCAGAATGATAAAATGTATTTCAGTGTTTAAAACTAATTGAAATTGACCCTT